TGCCGGATTTGACCGGGTTTTAGCTGTCTGATCATACAAATGAAATAAATCTGCGAAGATCTGTAAGATACATATGCATAATCAGCGAACATAAGAGTAGGCTCGGTCCGTTGCAGGCGGATTGCAAACTTCTGTTCCACTGCTTTCTTTGATGTTCCCAGCTTTGATCGTCGTTTGCGTCTCATCAGATTGTCTGGAGGCTGTGTGAGACAATGGCTGAGTGGTGAAGCCCAGGCTTTCTTTGGGCGGGCTACTGAAGCCGGCTGGCAGCCCGATGTCACGTCATACCGTACCGTCGGTGACGCGCCGTCGCGTGCGCCGCAACCCTTTGGGCGGGCTACTAAAGCCGGCTGGCAGCCCGATGTCACGTCATACCGTACCGTCGGTGACGCGCCGTCGCGTGCGCCGCAACCCTCTGGGCGGGCTACTGAAGCCGGCTGGCAGCCCGATGTCACGTCATACCGTACCGTCGGTGACGCGCCGTCGCGTGCGCCGCAACCCTCTGATTGAACGTCGCGGTTGGCGGTGACTTCGGAACTTGGGAAGGAATGTGTGGATATGACACACCCGTGCCGCCATTGTGGTACCAAAACGGCGCAGGCTCAGGTAAATGGTATCAGAACCAAGCTACGTGCGTAACTGGGCTCGTTTGTCGAGTATTACGATCTCCCCAAACCAATTTGAGAATTCCACCGGTGCAAGGGTCTCGGGAGACTGGAGCTAGGACTTTGATATGCCGACAGGCAATTAGTTATCATGGGCCACCCGATCTCGGCGGACATCTCTATGTGGTTAGAGCAATACCCTGATCCGGGAAATACTGTCCCGTGCTCCGAACGTGGCAGGGTTAGGACTCAGGCTAGATTTAGATCAATCACGGTTTTATTATGTGTTTCTTCAAATGCGTGCAGTTCTAAACTATGCGTCGGTCAGCTACCTCAAGGCGACAATCTGTTCAAAAATAGTTCAATTTCAGCGTGTGAGACAGAACACAGCTCCATGATTGGTAATTGATTGAACGGATTGATCATAGGCGAATAGGCGAAACGTGTTCATAAGTACTTAACCATGAGCCATTTACCGTCCCGTTGTTGGCCTGCGCACAGAGCGGCACTCGAAGATCCGATTGCGTGTGCCATCACCTGCAAAACCAGCGACAACAGTTGGTACTGTGGTGTCGCCTGTGGTGTCGCCTGCGGTGTGCGCTCGATTTGGGACAGCTGCAGGTGTCGGACCACGTGCAATGGATCGGGCAATTGTAATCGCATGCGTTTCCTTTGCGTGGATCCGTTGAAGTGGACCCGTTGTGTACATTTTGAACTTCTCGATTTGTCGATTGAGTGAAGTTTTGGTAAGTGCTGTTATCTATTTCCCGATGCGAATGTTTCGTTATCAGCGCATTGCCAAGGCTGTGCAACTAATGCAAGTATTGCATTTTGCAATGTCTCGTTCTCATACACATTTACCAATTTGGTAGTAATGACAATGCCATAAGCACGACAGTGGAGCAACTTAGTAAGAAGTCGGGGGAAAAGGGCCGAAGCACCTTTGAAATGGATATATTGTGCATCACCTCAGGGTTAATGTTGGCTTTTGAAAGGTCGGGACGTTCCCCTACGTCTCGGGTGCGAGCACCGCTGTTACGAATATAAATTAAAGTGGTGTCACACTACAACGAATTAAACGAACATGACTCGTAATTCCGTCGTGTAAAATGAGTCGCGCGAAAACACCGAGTGCCTTAATGAATGGGATTATTCACTTGTACGGCTTGTTCGGCGTAAGTTTCGGTTCAGCCAACTGCGCCGAAGCCCAATGATCCCTGATCATTGGGCTGGGGAGTAAGTTTAAGATCTTGCCTGATTTCGGACTGGTAGCGATAGTGTGATCGTGAATTCGGTGTCGCCCATTCCTGTTGGTTATCAGTTCCACGGGATCATGATAAACATCGTGTTGGCGAGTGTGTGATGGATAGTGCTCCTGCGCCCATAACACGGCAGATTGAATGGGGAGGGAAGCAGCAGACTAGCCTGGTGGTTCATAATTGCAGGGTATTTCGTATCGTTCAAAGCCTGCCATATCACTCTATCTGGTCTGTTGCATGTGTTTGTGTGGACCTATCACTGCGCGGCGAGCGTGACGCAGTGGCCCAGTTTGCTGCCGGCCCTGCCCGGCTGGGCAGCGGGGCGCAGCGACCCATTTTCCTGCCGGATCTACCGGGCTGGGCAACGGGGCGGCGAGCATGGCGCAGCGGCTCAGTTTGCTGTCGGCCCGGCTGAGCAGCTGGCGGCGAACGTGGCGCAGCGGCTCAGTTTGCGACCGACCCGGCTGGGCAGCGGAGCGGCGAGCATGGCGCAGCGGCTCAGTTTGCTGTCGGCCCGGCTGAGCAGCGGGCGGCGAGCGTGGCGCAGCGGCTCAGTTTGCTGTCGGCCCGGCTGAGCAGCGGGCGGCGAGCGTGGCGCAGCGGCTCAGTTTGCTGTCGGCCCGGCTGAGCAGCGGGCGGCGAGCGTGGCGCAGGCGGCTCAGTTTGAGACCGACCCGGCTGGGCAGCGGGGCGGTGAGCATGGCGCAGCGGCTCAGTTTGCTGTCGGCCCGGCTGGGCAGCGGGGCGGCGAGCATGGCGCAGCGGCTCAGTTTGAGACCGACCCGGCTGGGCAGCGGGGCGGCGAGCATGGCGCAGCGGCTCAGTTTGCTACCGGCCCGGCTGGGCAGCGGGGCGGCAAGCGGCCTAGATTGCTGCCGGCCCAAACTGAGCCACTGCACCACGCTCGCCGCCCCTTTCCGTCTGGGCAGCGGGGCTACGAGCGTGGCATAGTTTGCTGCCGGCTGGGCTGGGCAGCGGGCCGGCGACTGGGGCGCCGCGCCGCAATATCTGTCCGGTGCCGGCCGGCGCGTACCGCCGCTGACGAGCCGGGCCCAGGCGGTTCACGGAAGCGGCCGTAATGAAACCGGCCGACCTGCAGCCGACTGCAGCCCGCGCCGGTGCTGCCGACAGGCCAGCGCTGCGCCGTGGCGGCCGGGCGCCGGTCTGGGGAGCGGTCCGTCTGAGAATGTCACCTGGCCGCTGGGGCCGGGCCGGACCGGACCGGGCGGGTCCGACGCGCCCGCCGTCGTTGAGTGTACCGGCCGCCTCCAGCCGCGCGCGCTGCCGCTTCGCTGCGCCGCCCGGATCGATTTGCTCCGTTAGAGCCGATCGCCGGCGCGGAGGGGCCGGCTGTGGCGGCCGGTGAGGACCCGGCGCGGCTGAGATCTCAACAGGCCGCGGCCGGCCGGAGGCAGTGAGGGCCCGGCGCGGCTGAGATCTCAACAGGCCGCGGCTGGCTGCGGCGGCCGGTGAGGGCCCGACGCGGCTGAGATCTCAACAGGCCGCGGCCGGCCGGAGGCGGTGAGGGCCCGGCACGGCTGAGATCTCAACAGGCCGCGGCCGGCCGGAGGCGGTGAGGGCCCGGCGCGGCTGAGATCTCAACAGGCCGCGGTCGGCCGGAGACGGTGAGGGCCCGGCGCGGCTGAAATCTCAACAGGCCGCGGTCGGCCGGAGACGGTGAAGAGCCCTGGATTGGACTAGGCGGCGGCCACGGTGCGGAGATGAAGCTGGTGCTTTGAGCCACTGAGAGATCGGGCTGCATGTCAGACTCAGGGTGCACGAACGTTGAAAACACAAGTGGAGACGGCCACACGATGTCCAAATCCCCGCGACCGGCTGTCACCGCTCGCGGGCGACGAGTGCCGGCGCTTGGGCAGATTTCAGCCGAGTTGTCAACTGGCGCTGGTTCTTTCCTGCGCGACCAAAGGCTTTTGAGAATGCGGGACATTTTCCGAACCTCGTCAGTCTGTTGGTGTCTTGCTTAGGTACACGTTTGGCGTTTTTCATTTTGTGTATGTTCACGAAAACAAAATGTTCTGAGAGGATTTTGGATGGGTCCTCGAGGATCACGCGAAGGGCGTTTAGGGTCATGTGGGCTTTGTCGTGGATACGCAATTGCTTTCATAACACATTTATGAATGCCTGTTGAATGCCATTTATGGATGCCTGTTGAGCTGCAGCAAAAATGCAGACAGCTTTCGGCCAGTTTTCCATTATGGTGATACGCGATAACTTAAAAGCCAAAGGACGGAATGTTTTGCTTTGCGTTCTTACTTGAGACAAATGGCGTGGTGGCGAGCCAATTTCCAAGACTAACTTTAACAGTGACGTTTATGAAGCTTATTGTGAATAAAAGCCCCGTCATTTTCTCTCGTATGTGGTGTAGCATTTTCAGTCTATTCCTCTCTGATATTGCTTTTTCGGGGTGACAGGTGACGCGTATAACCCCCGAGGATAATCCTGCTGGCACGGCGATTTACATAATGGATGGATGAATAGATGAATAGCTATTCTGCCCCAGCGAACCAGCAGATGTCATGTAGCCCCTTTAGTCAAAGCAGATTGATCTAGAGCGGGCGCAGAGACGTTCGTCATGCTTTTGGCAGTGTTCTGACAGACTGGTATGATTTAGCGACAGCGTAGCCTCCATCCCGGACTGGGAGACCGGAAATGCTGCACAGACATAAATTCATTCTTAATGGAGCCATTCCCCGTGTTTTTTTCTGATGAAATATGTGGTTTTGGAACGTCCGTAACGTTTGCTACCCAGTGCAGCTGCTGAAAGTGCGGATGTGACTGCCTTCACCGATGGCGATTTCGCGTGTTTTCCTGGCGTTCCAGGCCCGGGTTGCCGAGTCACAGTGTAACGACGTACTGCGTTGCGTGTGCAGGAAATATCTTATTACTACCATACATGTGTCCCACATAAAACTTTGCTAGTGGAACGTACTGTGTTGCCGAATTCCGAAATCTATCACGTTGCCTGTGGCAAGGATGTGAATATTTCGGAATTTGTTGTCTGGCCTGTTGCTAACGATGCGTACGTCTTTTGGACACGGATCGTGGGGCAGACTGTCGGCATGCGCGTGCTGTGTAGTCGACTATGTGTGTGCACATCCGGTGCCTGTGCCCTCAGTGACGTGGCGGTCATCACTGAGGACGGCTACGTCAAGATCGTGGGCCGGGCCAAGGACATGGTGATCCGGGGCGGCGAGAACATCTACCCGGCCGAGATTGAAGACTTCCTCATGACCCACCCGGATGTGATGGAGGCCTACGTGAGTGGCTGGCGGCACGCCATCCGAGGCGCGCCACAGAGATGCACCGCGTTTCGCCCACTGTGTCTCATTGTGCGACTCCGCTCCGGTGTCGAGTAACGTCATCAATCTGGGCTCCCTAAGGTTGCCCCTGATTCAGCACGATAACACTGATGGTTCGTTAGGGACTTGGACGTTATCGGGATGATCGAGAAACGTCATCAACCTTGCAAGTGAATGCAGAGCTCACAACTCCCGCGATGACGAGAAATGTTGACGCGCTTTAGGCGCGGGAATGCTCCGCAGCCGTGTGGCAGAATCGGTCTAGTTTTCAAAGGAGCGGGTCAGGTTTTTGTACTGACGGTAATGGGTGTAGGGGAGTGGCCGTAGATTAATAGAAGCGGCCAACCATATCTCAGCCTACCCAATACTGATAAGCGCTTGAAATGATTTAGCGAAAAAAATTAGAAAAAAAAATATTACCCGCCGTCAGTGCGGAGAGAATGCTCCATGCAACTTTATGCCCTTCAGTTGCTGAAAAATATCTTGAACGGGTGGCCTAGATGCCACTAGCATTCATCTTTTGCCATGCCCGGTCTCATCCAAAGTTATGGCGCGCTCTTCTGTGCGTATTTCGGTTAACTCTTAACTCTGGGGTCCCGAACGCTGCCCATTTTTCCATGGACGGCGGTAAAGTTAGAGAAAACGATCCACTGCATGCCAAATTGGAACTAGGTTTCAGAAATATACGGATCCCTGCCGCATAAGCAGAGCTCCCCGTAATTGGAGCATCAGCTTAAATGATAAATTTTAAACGAAAGCTGTTTCAAACGACTCGAAGTGACGATGGTTGATTGCTGGCATTGATTCTGTGCTACTAGATATCTCAGCTGTCGTACCTTGAACCGTGTTTTCTTGCCCACTCATCTTTAACACGCGCTCGGGTGGCCGGCTAGATACCCTTCGGTCGGGTGGGGGGCAATTTGACCACCCGATATCTCGGGAACTAAGCAAGCTAGAGACACCAAATTTACAGGGTGCGTTGACCTGTACGTGAACTCACTGAGTTCAAATTTTCAGCGTCCTAGGTTATGAGCTTCGGGTCAAGCAGGTCAAACGAGGTCAAATTCCAGGACGTGCCCCCAGAACCTAGATAACCATTTCTAAGCAAAAGGTCGCATGTTCATTTAAGGTCATTGACCTTGTTAAACCTTTTGAAGGTCATGGTGACCAAGATCATATAAGGTTGCTCTGAGTTTTGTGTTTGAATAAGCGACACAGATTATGCAAGGCAGTATGTTCCCGAAAGCAAAATATTGACGTGGGTCATTTTAGGTCAGTGTCCTATTCTGACCTCTAAGAAGTCCATGGAAGGCGTTTAATGCAGTTCCTGTCATCAATGAATTCGAAATGAGCACCAGAAACTATCTCATGCTGCAAGCCCTAGAATAATAAAACGGGTTGTTTTTGACCTTGGTCGGACCTTCATACCTGACTTCAGGTTTGGGCAATTTGTTCACTCAACTGTTGCGTTGCCTAAGAAAGCATCTCAGAGATGTATAGCCTCGCCTAACCCTCCGTTGTTGCATCAGATTGGACGATTCCCTAGAAATCGACTTCGCTGAAACCATGGCCTGATTTTGACTTGCTATAGGTCAGCGACCTTGAGAGGTACATCTAAATTTTTGATGCCAAGCAGTCCGCTATTCAATTGTCTACATCTATGCAAAATTTGTTCGGTTGTTTCAGTTCAACACAAAGATCCTGACCGGGTGCCGGATAGTTGACGTTTGTTTGTGATTTCTTTGTACAATCCTATTGTCTTTTGCGTATCATCTAAAGCTATCTTGCTTAAATAAACGTTCGAAATTGGGTCGTTCTGTGGCTTCTCGTTGAAATACTTGTTTGTTTGCATTTATTTATGCCTCTCACTCGAAACTAACCGCGTCGTATTGTACCCAACTCACGTCCCCGCAATAGATTATCAGCGCGTTGGTCACGCGACCAGAACAAGAGTGCTGGTCCAGCTGTTGACAGTGCCGGGGAGGCGGCCGGGCGGCGGCTCCAGTGTGTCGCCGGCCACACTCGACCGACCATTGTGGCGCGCGCGCCGCCGTGCTGGAGGGTGGCTCGGACCGCCGGTGCCGGCGACACGGCCGCCCTCTTGGGAGGATCGATGACGCGCGCCGCCGGCCGGCTGCGAGAGGGGACACACTGCTGACCTCAGCGCTGGCACCCCTCCGAGTGACCGCGTCCCCCCCCCCCCGGCGTCCTGCCTCGCCCCGCACTCGCGCCTCCTTCCGCCGTCATCTCACGGCCGGAGTCTGTCCGGTCTGGAGCTCTCAGGCCACCGCTCTAGGGTCGATCAGGAACCCTCAGGCTGTTGCGCGCGAGGTGGAGACTCGCCTGTGGCAATATCGCGGGGGTAGGTCACGAGAGAACAGAGCACTCGTCGTGTGAGGGCTGGAGACTCGCCTGCGGCAATATCACGGGGGTAGATCACGAGAGAACAGAGCACTCGTCGTGTGAGGGCTGGAGACTCGCCTGCGGCAATATCACGGGGGTAGATCACGAGAGAACAGAGCACTCGTCGTGTGAGGGCTGGGAGACTCGCTGTGGCAATATCACGGTGGTAGATCACGAGAGGACAGAGCACTCGTCGTGAGAGGGCTGGAGACTCGCTGTGGCAATATCACGGGGGGTAGATCACGAGAGGACAGAGCACTCGTCGTGAGAGGGCTGGAGACTCGCTGTGGCAATATCACGGGGGTAGATCACGAGAGAACAGAGCACTCGTCGTGTGAGGGCTGGAGACTCGCTGTGGCAATATCACGGGGGTAGGTCACGAGAGGACAGAGCACTCGTCGTGAGAGGGCTGGAGACTCGCTGTGGCAATATCACGGGGGTAGATCACGAGAGAACAGAGCACTCGTCGTGAGAGGGCTGGAGACTCGCCTGCGGCAACTGCGCCTGCGGCCTACTCGCCTGCGCGGGGGTAGGTCACGAGAGGACAGAGCACTCGTCGCGCGAGGGGAGCCTCGCCTGCGGCAATATCGCGGTGGTAGATCACGAGAGGACAGAACACTCGTCGCGCGAGGGGAGCCTCGCCTGCGGCAATATCGCGGGGGTAGGCCACGAGAGAACAGAGGACACGTCTGTTTGTAACCTGATTGCCGTTCGCCTAGGGATCGACCCGAGCGTACAGTATCCGATTGCTGGGTGTAATGATCCTCGGGCCAATAAATGTCACGTCCCAATACCATGCGGTGAGCCTAACCCTGCCATGCGCGGTGTGCCACAATGCCGTGGCCTGGGGCTGCTGCCCGTGCGGGAAAATGAACGAAATCGTTCGTGTTTGTGGTATGGTACATACTCGGGCTTATGAGTTGGGGTCACTTATGCTGAAAATAACCACCTTCATTATCACAAGAAGACCAAAGCAAGCAGTGTGTATTGGGGTCTCCGATGAGGGGGGGGGGGGGTCTCTGACCTCTCATGCTTTGGGAAAATAGTCATTTGTGACTATGAGTACAGTGTCGAAATACCTAGTTTTTTACACGAACAATGCTTACATGATGCCGTCGTTTAAGCAGCACCTCCAGCTGCTCTGAAACTCGACTATTTTCAGCATAAGAACTCCCACCTCATGATATCAAATGCTAGGAGCCCTGCCATTCTTGCTTGCATGCAGTATGCTGGCTAAGTGCACAAAAACGCGTGCTGGGGAGAATTGTACTGGTCATCCGATCGTCGTGTTTATTTCGTGTAGGACAAGCAGGGAGCTGTAATAAAAACGCCGTTTGCAATCACAACAAATACCAACAACTGGTATATTGCCACTCGTGCGGTTTATCTTGGGCTCTGACGCTGTGGGCAAACACTGCCATACCGTGGCTGCCGCCACTGGGTCCGTGTTTCTGATAGGGCCCACGCCATGTCGAGAGTCTTGCAGGATTATTCGCGCCATGAGACGCAACTACCTGACAAAAGAAAAGGTACGAAATGAACCACAAAAAAGCATGCAGCAAACGTAATTTATATATATATATATATATATATATATATATATATATACAAAGTGGGGTGCCAGTGCTCACGTTCAGAGCTCCATCACAGCCTATCGTTAAGGCTCAACCGCTTTGAATAGGCTGGATTCAGTTCCTTTTAAAATTTGTCCACCAAAATTCCATCTTAAGTTGAATACGCGGAATGTTGCGCTATCGTCTCCTGGCTCACATGATATCTTTGTTTTGATGAGGAGTTGTTTCTTCGCGCTGCAAAATGTCCGTTAAGTTGTCGGCCAGCCACAAACCTCGCGGTATGCGAGTGTCGCCTGACTGGTGTGTTTCATATATGACTGCGGTTCAGACCATCGTGACGGGGCCGAAGATAAAGCGCTAAAGCGGCAAGGTGTTTGGGATGCGTCGGAATTGAGAAGCTTTCCTAGAGTTCAAAACGGTGCTTTTCTTCCGGCTGTAGAAAACATCGCAATTTGGTTTTATGGTTGTCTTGTGTTCAACCGTTGTATTTCATTGTGTTCTTTTGTTCATTCTTGTAGTCTGGCCTTTCTACTGGGCTGCTCCGACATCGAGTATGCAGTTATCTCCCTAGATGATGGATCGTACAAGTCAGAAGTGATAGCAATTTTTCCGATAATGACTTGGTCTGACGTCAAGTTCAGTTTATTTTATGAGGAAGATATTGGTTTCAGATTGCCTATGGTGACCTGGATGGGCTCCTTTCGTCGTCCATCGATCGTTAGTTATGGGCTTGTCCGTTTTAGGGTTGTGGCTTGGTTGGGTTGCCGTGCATTGGAAAATTATAACGGAATATACTGACAACCCAAGTGATTCGCTGACTAGAAAAGGCAGTCTAGATCGCTTCACAATACTTTGTCAATATTTATCCTCGTTAAGACTTGAAAAAGACCTGCTTAGTCACGAGTTGATGCGTACCGCTCAGCATAAAGGACGAAAATATCCGTCCTTTGACCAGTGTTGACTTTGTACTGCCCTCCACACATGACAGACGGCCGCCAGCCGCGGGCCGTTTGGTTGGGCTGCTCTCGGCTGACCGGCTCACGCTCTCCGTATTGGCGGCAAGTGTGGGACATCACCCGAGAAAGACAGGGTGGGACTTAACCAGGTATATTCACAAGTGAACAAGATTAAGTAAGATGGCTTCTAAATACTCAGAGACGTGAATACGGAAAATGTTTCGAATCTATGCAGACACTGCCATAAAAGGGAATGCTTCACATTTGAGGACTGAAGCGGGTATCAGATATGGTGTAATTAGTAGACTTTAAACTATTGGCATACTTTTAAGCGGAAAAGACTGCCCCAAACAACACAATTTGTTTCTTTGATAGATATGCTTCTTGATACGCCATTTCCTGATAACGTCATCGTACCCTGCACAACACGGATTGAGAGCTAATTGAGGGTCGTCATGTCTGGAAATCATGCTCACGAACGTCAGATCTGAACCACTCGACAATTTTTTTGGCCTTGATCGCCGCATGGCTAATGGAATGGCAGGATTTGAATGGCATTGTGATGACGTCATGGATGCCTAGGAGACCTTGAAATAGTCTCCCCGAAATGGTCTGCACATCTTCGTGAGCGTGTAGCTCAGAAACTAGAGGGGTTTAGGTCTTGGGCAGGGATGTGAACTGCACCGAATGATCTTCGAGATGGTTATTTTAGTTCAAACCGCCATACGAATGTAGAGCACTCCCTTTAACAAAACATTCACCTAATCATTCGGGTTGTCGCGTCCTAACGCCCGATGCACGGTAGTATGCTACGAGCTGCGCGAAACCGAGACGGCAGAACTGGAGGTTAGAGAGTTACCTACCACGCCCAGCAGGCACCACGACCATGCAATATCGTGAACATGCCGGCAATGTAGCCTCTCATGTCGCGTCATGGGGGTGAGTGGTTTTCTAACCTTTCTCGTGATGGATTATCACGGTCTTCCGGATAAGCGGCATGTGTTTCGTGCGATCCTTAAAACATAATCCTGCATCGGATGTTGGGATGCGGAAATTCGAAAAAGTGATTTTTTGGGATATCTTTTGAACGGCAGTGTCAGTACGAATTGGGAAAATTATCTGTAGTCACGTGTCCTAGTATCAGACAGTGTTTTGATTTTACCCTGCTCGTTTGCGACCACGAGCACGGCTTAAATATTCGAGTTTCTGCAAAACAGGAATGTTTGTGTGAAAAAATCGTTTAAAAAGAATCTCCTGGCACATCGAAGGCCGATAATTGTCAGCATAAGCATTTCAAACTAATTTCCTTGCTGTATTCTCACCTAAGTCTGCCGAGTATCGCGTGTTACTAAGCATCGCTCGCATGTTTCCAATGACCTGATGAACATTGATGGTACTGATGACCCCCCCCCCCCCCCCTGCTGATGGGCGCAAAATGACCATTGCAGTCGACGCGCCGGAAAACACCAATGAACAACAAAGATGACCCGCCGCTGGGGCGGTACACCACGCCCCTGCGTGGATCGCTATCGTTTTGTCGTGGTAGCTGATGAGTGCGACGAGCACTCGGCCTGAAATCGACAACTTCGGGTGTTCTCCGAAGATTTACTGAGAAAACTGTCTCAGACGAGTTCCGAGTAACGAGTTCTCCCTGGTCGTTGGGGGATTCGCATGCGCCAAGTTCAGTGTCGCTATGACGGTCCCCGTCAATACCGGTCGACTATTGAGGGTGTTCCTCCGTCACGCCGGACCCACCATCGACACAGGGCCACTGTGAACACAGATCGACTGTTCAAACGCCGCCGCCATCGATCCACTGTCCGGCCGCTCCCGCCGTCGCTGCTTGCTCTCTTCTGACATGGGTTTGCCGTCAGCACGGTACGCCCGCCTTGTTGCTGCTGTGGGGTCGGGACGATGTCATAGGTATCCTGCCGGCGTCACGCCCAGACCGAAGCCGAACGCGTCGTTTTTGCTAGCAACGAGGCCACGAGCCGACTGCGCCACTGGACGGGTAATTGGTGGCCGCCTCGACCCGTAAACTCCGCGTCGGCTGTTGCAGATGCGCCGAACGATGTGCTAACGGTGCTGGCGATGGTCCTGGTGCCACGTCCGTGCGATCAGCTCGATGCTACGCGCGGAGCGACACCGAGCGTGGCCCCCTCCCCCTATTAATGTGGGAGTGTTGAACGCGGTGCGAGCGTCAAGTGAGCAGTTTGTTAGGGTGGAGTCGGCGAATGATGGAGAGAAACGTACGCAGCCGACAGACGGCAGCGATTTTACCTTTTGAATGACAAATTTTTGGCTTCAGTGGTGTAGGGTGCCGGTAGTGTAGTGGTTACGCGTCTGCGTTAACCACTGCGCGCCTGGGAAACCAGAGGTACGGGGTTCGATTCCCCGCGGTGCCCGCCCTTCCTGCCAGGGTGAGAGGCAGGCGACGCCATATAGCCTCAGCAGCTGAGTGCGTCGTAAAGCCCCAATGACACACACGCTTCAGTGATGCCCCATTCCACAGGCCAGTTGCGGGAGCAGTTCAATATGGCTGCTGTTGGCGTTAAGTCCCCTTAGGACGAGGTGACAGATAACAATTACGCGGCTTGATTTCTTGCCCACTTCGTCATTATCTTCGCATGACTAAACAGTTAACCGTCGCCCGTCCCAGCGCGTCCGAGCCGGCTCTGAGCGTGCTGGGTGACCGGTGTCGCAGCGGCGCAGCCTCCTTCCCTGGCTCCGCCGCGGCGCGTGCCATTGTCCTCTAGCCGTGTCGCTGGGTGGCCGGCGCCGCAGCGCCGCAGCCTGCGTCCCCGGCTCCGCCGCGGCGCGTGCCATTGTCCCCTCTAGCAGTGTCGTTGGGTGGCCGGCGCCGCAGCGGCGCAGCCTGCGTCCCCGGCTCCGCCGCGGCGTGTGCCATTGTCCCCTCTAGCAGTGTCGTTGGGTGGCCGGCGCCGCAGCGACGCAGCCTGCGTCTCCGGCTCCGCCACGGTGCGTGCCATTGTCCCCTAGCCGTGTCGCGGTGTCCCGGAGCGGCAGACTACACGCGGCTGGCCCGTTGGCAGGCGTTTGGCGTGCCGGACGAGCGGATGGGCGAGGAGCTGTGCGTCTGGGTCCGCAGCCGTCAGCCCGGCGCCGTCAGCGAACACGACATCAGGAGCTTCGCCAAGGGCCGGGTGAGAGCGGGCGGCGGCGCGGCGGCCATGCATCGCCCGTCGCGGCCGGCCCGCAGTTACGGGAGAGGTGGCCAAGGCCTGGTGCTATCGCAGTTATCGTCACGTCATTATGTGGCAGTTTGTTAAGCTGTGAGCAATGTCCGTGCTAAGCTTGTGCGGAGCAGTAGGTTTCCTAAGCATGACTGTGTAGTCTTCGATATCAAGGGTAAGTGATTATGGCGATGGTTCGCTTACAACAGCGCATTTGTGTGAGGAACAGATGCGGATTAAAATCGCCGCATGAAGGCGTACCGCCTGTGAACTTCAGGGTATTGAGAGATTGGCATTTTCGTCACGATCAACAAAGTACGGTGTGTTTATGACGCCCCGAGAAATTAGGTAGTTTGTAAATGTCAGCCTCCACTCGCTTTTCCGCCTGGGGCCGTGGAAGACGAAGCATAAAACTTGGAATCACCGAGACCTGAGAGCAGATGCGCGCTTCGGCGTGCTTCAATGGTGGGGAAATATGCATGGGCTCGCTGCTAGCGCGGCATATTATGGTAGGTTGTTCGTGATAAGGGCCAACTAGGCTGGATTGCACTGGCTCGACAATCAGCTGGACATCCCGTAACGCATGGTTGGAAGAGATTCAGTGAGGAACTGTTCGTCACGTCGAAGCACAAAAGCTGCTGAAGGGTCCGACGAACGTGGATGTCTTTTTAGACCAAGACACCAGACAAATATATTTTAGTCAGCAGTATCGATATGAGTCAGAAGTAATAACGACCAACGAGCAGTTTGGAACTGATGCATTCTTGAACACCTCTGTGCAGATTTATTTCACTAGCGAACGCTGTACGTACCTGGCTAAAGCTTTAAAGCGTGTCACCATGGTGTAGGCCTGGAACTATTGTGACGCAAGCCGCTGGGCTATTTATGTATCGGTCTTTGTTGATTGAGTGGAACACAGTAGTACACCGCAGCGCTGGCCTGTTTAACCGGGCTCACTATTACGCTAAAAGCAATTCCGGGATCCGTTTGTTGACATTGCACAAATCCAGCCTTTGTGCTCGGGAACGTGGGCCTTGACTGTCGGAAATAGTCGTCCAGCCACCCACGGATTCCCGGGGTCTGGCTCACAAATGCCCGTCACATCTGCGAGCGTGAATTGCCGAGAATTGGCAGCGTTGTCGGACAGCTGAAATGGGGCGGCCTGGTCCGGCCGCCCGGCGCCTCTGGAGAGGCCCCCGTAGGCCGATCTGGGCGCCGTGCCCGCTCGTTTGTCTGTCGCTTGTTCTTCTGTGTCGCTCCGCCAGGATGTGCCTTACAGAATACGTAGCTGTATGTATTGCTTCAAGGGTGTATGCACTGCTACTGTAGAAGCTATACAGTTAGATACATAAGAATGTACAGATAGATGCATATTTACAGAAAAATACACACAGTAGAAGATATGCCATCATGGATCGATTAATACCCAGTTTAACCTCATAATTCTGAAGGCCTGAGAATGCTTACATGTAGTGTCATTCATCACTGTGGGATGGATATTGTGATCAGATGCCGTCTGGTAGCGTTACAATGTCGCGGCTTACGAATCTTGAAACAACTGTTCTGGGGGATCCTAAAACTTGAAGCACGAGAACTTAACCGAAGTGCTGACGGAGTGAGTCGTTGAGAGGGCGGCACCGCAGCGGACTCTGTCCTGCCGGTGCCTGCTCATGCGTGGCTCTGTACGATGTCGCGGCGCGTGGCTGCCGGCTGTCATGCCCGGCCCCGTGACTGTCGGTCCGGCTGTCACAGATCGGCGCGCCGTTTTCAGATCGCCCATTACAAGGTGCCGCGTTACATCATGTTCCGCGACGACTTCCCCAAGACGGTGACGGGCAAGGTCCAGAAGTTCGTCATGCGCCGGATGATGGCCGAGGAGCTGGGCTTGGAGCAGTAGCCGGCGCCGCCGACCGACGGCGCGCGGTGCGGCCGTGGCGGCGCGCGGCATGCCGACGACGCTGCGTGCAGGCCTCCTCCGCCGGCTGGGCGGAGCGGCCCGTGCGACGAGCGGCTCGTCGCTGCGCGCAACAGGAGGGTAGTTTGCGGATGGGATTTGGGGGTTTGGTGGGAAAGGGGATTAATTCAGTGGAGGTCAGTTACCTTTAGATGAATCTGGCGACCACAACTTCCTTTGTCCTTCGATAGTCCGTGCTGCCGAACTCGGCATGTTTGTAACGTTCTATTGAATGATAGAGCTGTTTGCCAGTTGTGGATGGGTCAGCGGGAGCAGTGTTTTATTGAATTGAGATCAGTGTTCTCCAGGTGGAATGGATTCACATTGAGCATCGTTCACATCGGCTGCATTGCCAGCGCGATCTTTTGTGATTTTTCGCTGGTCAATCGGTCGGAGTATTTTTCTCAAAGGATATCGATCAGCTGGCTGGCGTCTGACGGCCGGATGACGTCGCTCAGCTGACTGTTGTCCCGCTTGGTGTCAGAGCGGGGTGAAGCTGGGGACGGTTGGAAAGGTTATGGGAGCAGTGTGGTTGACGTTTGAGCCTTGTAGGTGGGATCGCCTGATGATATAAGCTTGGATCGGCCCATGCCGGGCGGGAGCCATGAACCCATATAACCCGTGTAAGTCCACATTTGCGTGCCATTTTCTCTGCCATTTATGGTTGAGCGATGTCGGAGAAAAGGGTCAGATTTAGTTCAGTTTGTTTTTACCGCGTCCATAGAACTGCTTAATGTTGTTTTACATTCACTGTAGCATGCTATTGGTCATTGACCGCAATTATGTATTCAGGGATTGTCTGCATGCAATAGCGATGGACCTTTTCCTCAGGTTACATTATCGCCGAGCCATGTTGGCTACTGTAAGGCCATTGCAGCGTACCTACGCGTATCAGTTAACGTGCGTACGTCCGCTCACAAATGTCAACGTATCCCCACTAGAATGCATTGGCGTCGCTGGTAATGAGCGTTGTGTTATTGGTGCTAATCATTTTCGTGTTTCGCTGATGTCACGCCGTTTTGGATCCGCATTTGAAGACGTAGGGATATCATTGGCTCATTTCATCGAATTGGTTTCTTTTTACATGCATTCGCTGTGACGGTGACTAGATGGTAGAGAGGTGTCTGCATCGTCTCAACATGCCGACAATAAAGCGTGATCTGATGCATAAAGTACTGGTGTGCCACTGGGTTATATTCACTTACGAAACTCAGAAACCTTACATGCGATCATGGTCCACACGTTTGACAGTAAGCTGACATTATTATATATGCCACGATCTTGTGAGAGTTGGGGTGTTGTCGATTCGGAATCATGAGTTACTGGAGGCTGATGGAGCAACGGTCCACCCGTGGTCGGACATCACTCTTCAGTAGTGATAAAATCGCCATGAAATGGCAAGGGTAGCACTTGAAGCCCACCCGCTTCCCTGTAAAACATGGCGCCAGCGCGTGGCTGATGTTGCGAAGCGCCCGCAGACAGCGGTGCGGAGCGCAGCAGGCTGGCCGGGAGGGTGGATGTGCCGTGGCTTCGTGTCCTTGTAGCGTCCTGAGAATATTCCCGCAGCGCGCGCCACCAGCGGACACTACGAGCCGCGCCGCGCTGACTGAACTCGAGCTTCTCGTGTGTCGCCCGATTTGTGAACTTCTTCGACGGGATCCGCCTCCAAGTAGCGGCGTGTCCGGCGGGCGCAGCGGACGGATTTGTTCGAGACGTTGATGGCTATGTATTGGATATGTGCGACAGAAGTTTGGGGACCACATCAAAGCTGGTATCAAGGCGTTACCGGTGGCGTGTGTGGGTATCAAAGGCGCGCGTGTCGTGTCGTGCTGCACTGCAGCATCGGCCATCCAAAGCTCATAGCTTAGTTCTTCGTAGACGACGTAGGGTTTGGACTGGCTGGTGCAGATGGAACAATTGCTCAAATAACCTTTTGTCGTCTGTGTACCACGCCAGGGTTCTGCATCGTTGCACTAGTAGGATGCTAAAACAATACCCACCAGAGGAAACAGGAAAGGGTCACAAAACATTCGCTGCATATTCATGTTAATCGACACGAGTCCATTTTTTCATTTGCCGTCCAGGATAATGTTTGTCGTGGTCAGCCACCAATTGATGGTTGCAAAGGCATGTCACCCCGGCTCACGTTATGGTCATGCTTACGATTTGCGGCAGCTTGCTTACCTTATCATGTGACGGCAGTGAGCACCGAACCCCAGATGGACCATGTCAGTTTGTGACAGTTGCATAAGTTGACGCAAAAGTCAGCCATTTTCGATTCGGCAGACATCCGCGTAAACGCAAGGTGCTGGGCATTTGGTTGTTGCCGCGTGAGATACGTCGCACATCGAGGTGCGTACACAATCTGATCGAAACAACATGGACGTGGGGAATGTCGCCGTCAACTACAACCTAGTGATAGTAAGGCCATGCAGTGTCCAAAGTGTTACGTCACGAGCGTAGTTTTCTAACGGCAGACGGAGGCCTCTGTTCGTACGGTCACGCCCCCAGTCCGCGGAGGCTCAGCGGCTCTCCCGGGACGTCCGGGGCACGGTGGGTAGACCTGGATCGCTCGGTTGGATAGCTGTGCTTATCAATTAACTCTTCCCGAATGGTGAGGCTCTGTCTTTATTCTTGTCCGACACCGTGCGGTATTTATGCACCGCGAGTTGATGTGTGGAGAGAGAACGCGCCGGTGCCCGTCTTTAGGCATACGCTATTTTTAATCCTTCGCGCCTTTTAACCATCCGTCATTCACCCGGCTTTCTCAGAACTGTCTTCAGCCCGTCTCACAGCTTTACTGCATAAGATCGCGTGAGCGACTGATGCGCCGCGGCTGTGTTGTCATAACCGGTCACAGCCGGGGGCTGTGTCTGGCTGTTGGCTAGGAAGTCATTTGGTGCTATACTCATGGTGTTGCAACTGTTTGCCGTAATTTCTCCATTCTGTCCACACAAAGGTTGCCGAATTATTGGCTCCGCAGTTGGAAGGGGGAGGGGGCAGAGTAACAAGCTCACAGGTTTTGGGGGAACAACTGAGAAACAACTAAAAAAAACGGATTGTCCACTCCCAGCTTTTTACATGTATTTGACATGTATCTTGACCGCAAAGATAAGTATCCGAGTCAATGTTATCTACCTTGCGATCACACCGTTTGAAATCACTTGGTGTTGCGTTTTATATATCACTTAATGCCTGATAAATTTACAAAAGTGGATTACCAGAAGTGGACTGGTTAAGCTGCGTGTCTGGGAAGCGAGAGATGCGGTGCTCGATTCCCCGCGGTGCCCCCCCCCCCTCCCCTCCTCCCTCCCTTCCTGCCAGGGTGTGAGGCGGGTGACGCCACGTAGCCTCAGCAGCTAAATGTGTCGTTAAGTCCCACTGCCGATCACGAACTACAAAAGGTACCGAAAAGCAACCAGGCCCCGTCGTGCGGACTCTATCTGAATTCAGTTGACTGGTCAAAAAAGCGAGGAAAATCTCAGCCATCTTCCTCGGATCATCTGTTATTTTCTCGACGTCCAAAAGGGAGGTCCGATGGGCTCAGGCTGTTTGTCGCACGTCCAGGAGCCTGGTCAGCCGTTGAGTGCCTGCCGTCCTGTTATTGACCTCGTGACCAGCTGTGTGACGGCCTGGCTGCTGCCTCCGCCGCCGCTCCTGTGCGCGCCACGGGCGTGCACTGATCCGCCGTCCCGCCTCATTTGCAGCGGCGGCGTACGGGTGCGCTGTTAACGCCCCGGCCGCGCCGCTAACGCCGCAGAGCCGCCTCTGCCCGGCTCCCGGTGCAGTCCGGCAGCCGCCGGCAGCCATCGGCGTCGGACGGTGCCGGCCGACCGGCGGCCGCTGCCGGACGCGGCGAAACGCGGGTCGCGCACGGTGGCGTGTATTACGAGGGCAGAGTGGCGGGTACACTGATTGGGCCCCGGGCCCGCGCGGCGGCACGGACACGCCACGGCCGCGCGGCGGGTGAGGCCAGTGAAAGACAGGGTCGGGGGGCGGGCACCCCGGCCGGCACGCTGCCCTCAGCCGTGCGCACCTGATCAGGCCGGCACACTCTCCGCCAGACCGGAGCTTATTGCGCGATCGTCATCCATCCAGCATCCTCCTCCCAGAAGTGGGTTCCACTCACGAGAGCATTTGCACTTCCTCGTCTTGTACATGGTTTCGTCACATCGGCGAGCGCTAACGCGCCCGCGCCAACACAGATAAAAAAGGGATTGTGCGGCCCCGCTGGGCACGAGCGAGCAGGCCGGCCGCCGCCCTACTGGATGGTGCAGTGGCGGCACCGCGCCGCTTGCTCCGACCGCGCCGCCGCCTCGGCCTCCGTCGGCGGCGCCTCCTCCTGCCGCAGCGCGTCCAGCGCCATCGTCAGCTCGCGGAACACCTGCAGCACGCGGTAGTTGAACTTGGCCGAGCACTCGACGTACGGCCACTTCCAGTGTTTGCGCACGGTGGCGGAGGCGTCGCGGCAGCCGCGCGCGCCGTGCGCCGCCACCTTGTCGCGCTTGTTGCCCACCACGATGACGGGCACGCGCTGCATGTCGCGCGACTCGAGCATCTGGTCGCGGATGGTGCGGATGTAGCGGAACGACTCTGGGCACGTGAGGTCGAACACGAGCACGTAGGCGGCGGCGCTGCGCAGGCCGAGCGCGCGGCACGAGCTCCACTCCTGCTCAGAGCCGGCTGGGAAGCGCCGCACGCTGGCCACGTCGTGCAGCCGGAAGGCGAACAGCTGGCTGTTCAGCAGTACGGCCGGGAAGTAGGTGTGGCGCGGGCAGCCGTCCGAGAGCGCGCACTGCGGCCGCCCCGGCGCCGCGCTCTGCACGAACTGCTGCAACACAACACGGACGGCTCTGAACAGACTGCTGCAGCACAACACGGACGGCTCTGAACAGACTGCTGCAATACAACGCGGACGGCTCTGACCAGACTGCTGCAACACAACACGGACGGCTCTGAACAGACTGCTGCAACACAACACGGATGGCTCTGAACAGTCTGCTGCAACACACCCTAACCACACGGACGGCTCTGAACAGACTGCTGCAGCACAACACGGACGGCTCTGAACAGACTGCTGCAACACAACACGGATGGCTCTGAACAGACTGTTGTAACACAATACGGGCTTCTCCCGGTAAACTGCTGCATCACAGCACACATGGATCTGAACGAACGGGCTGCTGCGACTGAATGGGAATGTTCACGGCATAAATGCAGCGCACGACACGCAAATTCCCTAAACAAACAATTACCCATGGCGCGCCGACAGCCAGACACGTATTGGGATCAAAGACAATATACGCCTTTGCGGCCTCGCGTGAAAAAATATATAACAGCAGAGCCGTGGCTGTCACATGGCATGCCCGCAAATACATGCAAACACTTTGGCAAAGGATAAAGGGTCATCGCCGTCATTGGGGCTCATCGACGTACTCAGCTTCTGGGGCTACATGGCGTTGCCTGCATCGCATCCTGGCAGGAAGGGCGGGCACCGCGGGAAATCGAACGCCGTACCTCCAGTTTCCCAGACGCACAGTGGTTAACGCCTTCACTTATCGACACCCCATGTAGCAGCGAACAAAATAACGGATCACGGATCAAGTTGGGCCATGTATAACTCCAAGTCCCCGCACAGCCGGCGCCCCAAGTGGCGGCCAAGTAAGGAGATTGGGAGCCGCAGCAAGTTCGGCGGCAGCGAACTTGCTGCGGTTCCTGCGGCCTCTGCATGGCAAGGACTGTCCGCACCGCTGCGGTGCGCGATTATAGAACTGGTTCCGGTCCCGACCCATGTCCGTGCGGAGCCCGGACACGCACAGGCTGCTATCCTGCCTCGTGTATCGCTCACGGGTCTGTGAGCTATATGAGCTCCCGGTCAATGTCTCTGCCACGTCACAGCACCGCACCTTGTGCGCCAAACACGCGGCATGGTGTCACTGGACTGTCCGCGTTTAGCCAGTCCACTAACATTCGCGCTCTCCGTCGGATCCGGTGAGCGAATTTGCACCAAAAAATAGCTTGCTAACTGGCTAACTATTTTTTGAGCATTCGAAATAGGTTTTTCTGCAAACCACTGTTTTCAAAGCATCTTATTTCATTGCTCTGCTTCCGGTCGGCACGGGAAGGAGGCTGCCACTGCGAAAATGTGCCGTCAAGTCAGGGGCTTTGCGCAAATTTTGTGAGCTACTCAGCAGCAACAATTGAAACATGTCCCATCGTAGAAACCACGTTTTGGAATTTCGATTTTGCACCACTGGCCACAATTTAGTTGTCGTTATATTGGGCAACTGCGTCCTCAGAGGACAGACGCAGTTTTTTGGTAGAGACGCAACAGAGCGGGGGGGGGGGGGGGACGAACAGGAAAGCCCTGGAAGACTCTGATGTCGTTGGGGAGCGATTCCGACATCTTAGCTTTCCAGTTATCTTAGTATTCCAGAGTTTTCCAGGGCGCTGGTGAGGCTGACACTCCGGGTGCGGATGCGGAGGTACGCAGAGAGCCAAGGCTGTCAATTCTGCGATATTTCAGCTTGAGTCGAGAGTTCAGCGCGGTTCAAAGCATTTGCCCCAACCCGGCAGGCAAAACAGGAACGTCCTTGCCTGGTTTTTGGCAGAAAGGATGCGCCCGGATAGGAATATCAACACGCTGAAAACTGACACCCAAAGTTGGCTATTTCGGGACCGGAGCGCTGACAGAGTTCGTCTAGATTAATACGATGCAAGGCTGTACAGCAATAGTGTCAATCATTTCACAGTATGACTGATGCCATGAATAGTACAGATCAGGCTGTGAAACACTGTAAATCCCTAGTCCCTACAAAGTGCTTATGAAGGACACGTTACATTCGATGGCGGTATTCATAGACGTACATCCTAGCTGGCATTGTTAGGCATCTGAGATATATACGCTATTGTCGGATGTGATGGCTCGCGCAGTAGCGTAAATGGTGCGTTTGCGGCAGCCGCGCCGGTAAATCTTGGATGCCGTATGGAAAGGCTGGAGATTATGCGACGACATACCACAGACGATAGATACATACATGATCTCTGAATACCATCGTTTAAAGAAACGATGAATTATCCTTAGCTGTTCTTTTTTAACGAAAGGTAACTAACCCAACCTGTCCGAATGGTTCTCCAGTCGCTTTTTGTCGAGACGCAAACGAGTTATGCTGTACACACACATCAGCTCGACGCTTCTTTTTTTGGCTACACGGACCTATGAGCGACGTCACCCTGCATCGGCTGCCGGCATCTGCACCGGCTGTTCGCTCCGTATTCAAGAGCTCAGGAGCTAAAATCTGACATGAAAGCTGAAAACAGTCTGTCTCCGCTTTCCGTCTCTTTATGGAGCGTGTATTGATTCGCAACGAATAACATCTGTTCTGAGCCGACCACGCTACAGGTATGCTCGATATTGTCAGCTTGTATGCGAAATGGGCGATCGGGTTTTGGCCGCTTTGAGACACTTTGCATTCACGGCAGCTGACATATTAAAGGCCTAGGTGCCGGAATATGCTGCAAACGTTGCAGGCTTCATAAATATGATGAATGCGCCTTGCGGACGACATGAGTCCAAATGAGCTGTTCAGGGCACAGGCCGCGGCAGCCTGAGTGAACCTTTCTCGTGATGAATAGCCGGGACCGGGAAGACAGAATTGGGGCGCGTGACTGCCCCTGCTGAGACAGTACCAGGTCATCGGCATTCGCGTCACGGCCCGCCGCCCCAAACGGCTGATTCCCTGAGGGTCCTTCGAGCAAACGGAGGCGGCGCTCGGCGCGTGCGGCCCCGACGAGCGTTTTGTCAGACGGACTGTGAGGTGATAGGGAACTGCGGGACGGACTGTGCGGTGATGGGGAACTACGGGACGGACTGTGCGGTGATGGAAAACTGCGGGACGGACTGTGCGGTGATTGGGAACTGCCGGACGGACTGTGCGGTGGTGGGGAACTGCAGGACGGACTTAGATGTGTCAGAGAACTGCAGGACGGACTGTGCGGTGGAAGGCAACTGTGGGAAGGGCTGTTCCGTGACAGGCAACTGCGGGTCGGACTGCGTTGTGGCAGAGAACTGCAGGACGGACTGTGCGGTGGCAGGCAACTGTGGGAAGGGCTGTGCGGTGACAGGCAACTGCGGGACGGACTGTGCGGTGATGGGGAACTGCGGGACGGACTTTGTGGTGATGGGGAAATATGGGACGGACTGTGCGGTGGTGGGGAACTGCGCCATTTTAATCACCTGCAAAATGTTGTGGCAGGGAACTGCGGGACGGACTGTGCGGTGGCAGGCAAATCTGGGAAGGGCTGTGCGGTGACAGGCAACTGCGGGACGGACTGTGCTGTGGCAGGGAACTGCGGGACGGGCTGTGCGGTGGTGGGGAACTGCGGGACGGACTTTGCGGTGACAGGGAACTGTGGGACGGGCTGTACGGTGGTGGGGAACTGCGGGACGGGCTGTGCGGTGGCAGGGAACTGCCGGACGGACTGTACAGTGACGGGCAACTACGGGACGGACTTTGAAGTGGCAGGCAGCTGCGGGATGGACCTTTGGGACAGAACGTCATGGGGCCAATGCATTCAAAATAAGGCATTCCACTGCAAGATAAAATGTTCATGGTTATTGAGCACAAAATTGGAGAGCGGTTGATTGACCCACCGTGCCTTCCCCAAACTCCACTGTCCTTAAACAATGCTTAAGAAAAAGAAACCGCTATCTGAGTATGGGCAAGCTTTCTCGAAGACTCTACAACTCTAATTCAAGCGCATTAGAGTTGTAGTATTGGAGTTGTAGCACATAGTGGACTACTACACATTAAAAGTTTACTATGCGCTGCCAGGGTCTTGCGGTAGAGACTGCGCGTTGTCAGAAAGCTGCGAGGTTCCTGTGAGTTTAAAGTGAACAGTATGACGGGTTGTGCGTTGGCTTGTAATCGTGAGATTGCCTGAGCGTTACCAGAGAAATGTGAGGTGAATTGAATATAAACATTTTTTATCACGGCTGTGAAATGTGAAACGGACTGTTCGTTGACATGTAAATGAGAGACCTGACACACTTGACAGTAACACCGTAAGAAAAGGGTAATCGGTCAACAGCAGGTAGAACAGGGGCCTGAGGCAAATACTATCAAAGGTGTGTCGTTCCTAGACTAAGGCGACAGTAATGTGGCGCCAGTTTTCAGGCTGTCCCTCACTTACGCCGCTGTACCTACCTCATTAAGCAAGACATTGATAAAACTGTGAACAAGCTGTGGAGCCATCCAGCCACTCCACTGTCTCGAAACCCATTTTGAGCTGTTTCGAAGACAACGCGTCCTGGAAAAAGCCATGCCCCACCCCGTGCCGCGCATGCCCCCGGTGTCCAGGCCGCCGCCGGGTGGCGCCACGGTGGCGTGGTCCGGGCGACCCGGCGCTGACCCCCCAGGCTGACCGTCTCGGCTGACCGCCGTTACCTTGACGATGGTGGACTTCCCAACCTGCGGAGCGCCGATGACGACGACCCGGATGAGCTCCATGTGGCGCGGCCGGACCCAGACCGGCTGCTCATGTCTGAGCGGCTGCACCGTCTGCAAGAAGGGACAGGGCGTCACACACCTGTCGCAACCGTCATGCTGCTCGTGTCTGAGCGGCTGCGCCGTCTGCAAGGGGAGCGGCCGTCACACACCTGTCACAACTGTCACGGACTGGCTGCTCATGTCTGAGCAGCTGCATCGTCTGCAAGGGAGCCAGAGACCTGACATACAGACCTGCCGGACTATAGGCCTGTCACATACCTGCTACGTGACCGACATAGCGCCCGTGCCGGCACGACGCCGACGTTGACATGCCGTCATATGCCCAGCTGTCACGACCAACCGTCGCATACTTGCAAGACCCGCGATATTCTTGTCGCAGCCGGCGCGCTTGTCACACAGATGTCACATCCAGCAAAGCAGTCACTGCGTCACCGCATCCTCCCTGCATGCCCGGCACCTTCACAGCTTCCGTGGACCTTCGGCACGGACCTGTCACGGTCACCCCGCATCCCGTCACATATCCGTCACGGCACCCTGTACACTCGTCACACGCCCGTCACGGCACCCTGAACACCCGTCTCACACCCGTCACGGCACCCTGAACACCCGTCACACACCCGTCACGGCACCCTGCGCGCCTGTCACACACCCGTCACGGCACCCTGCACGCCCGTCACGCACCGTGCCATTTTAATCACCTGCAAAATCCAATCAGGTGACTCAAAATGCTTAAATATAGAGAAAGAGTTATTCCCGGGTCGGGCAGGCGGAAATTCAATAAGCCGCCGGGAGAGTCAGTCTGCCCCGACGGGGCCGAGCCGACGACGACGGCGCCACTTCAATTAGGTCTGGCCCGCCGCCACCAGGGGCCCGGCGCGCCCGACCGCCGCCCGTAAGTTCCCCGATTCGGCACCGTGCTGGTGCAGCGGGTGGCGGTTTGGAGGAAATATGGCAGCCCAATTCGTGAGGGTGGCCGGCATTTATAGCGGACATGGATCGAGGATGTGGGCAGGCATGCATTTATATGACGGCGCTTGGAAGAAGGCGTGGAAAGTACGGTGTAAGTTTTCATGCAATGTAGATGGTTATCTTCGCATTGCATTAGTAGCGTAGTGCAAGATTTTGTGCACTTTACCTTTATTTTGCGCAAGTTGTTCAGTGCATTAGCGAGGAACATTATTCGCATAGATAAGACAGTGGTATTAGCCTTATTCCTCGGAAAAAAACAGGAGAATGGAGACATAGTTTGGTTGATATTTCGGCAACATGCCTTGATCGAAACAAAAGCAGAAGTGAATTGTTCTGAAAGAAATTGTTGCAGAAGAAATTGAAGTGAAATTTGGTTTTGCTTTTGTTTCGATAAAGGCATGTTGCCGAAATATTAACCAAACTATAGCTCCATTCTCCTGTTTTTTTTCCAAGGAATAAGGCTAATACTGCTGTCTTATTTATTTTGGCGTCTTTTTGACCCACTGCCCAACAACGAATTTTATTTAAAGCAGCGTCCGTGACGAGATCCAAATGTATTCATTCATTAGATGTAGATGGGTTTGGTGCTGATCAGAGCATCTCGCGTGTTTTTGTTCAGCCGGGTGGCGTCGGAGGCTTTCTGCAAAGGAAAAGGCAAACTTTAAAGCCTCCTGAGTGGATCTGGATGAGAATCAGGTGGCTCAACATCCGTCACGGACCAAACATCACCTTTTCTAAACATATTGCAAAACTTTTCCCTCGGATTTCGCCCATTTTTCTCTCAAAAGGACTTCTCCTTAGGTATGCATGATTGAGTGCCATTCCTTAAGGCCACGTTGGGTCGCGTGGTTTTCTTGTCGAGTCCTTCTCTTGTGCTGTCGAGGCTGCCTGTATTTTTCATTGCATGGACAGAATATTCTATTTTGGCCACGTGGGGCCACCTGTCGGTACGATCGAATGTCCTAAAATTTCAATGAGCAAAACAAAAAGTTAGCTCCTTTGTCGAACGGCAAGGGTGGCTCCCCCAGCCTCGCCATTCCTCTCTTTATTCCCTGCTGGCGCCGCTCCCCCAGTCCCGCCCTCCCTCTCTTTATCCCCTGATGGCGCCGCTCCCCTGCCCCAAGCCTCACCATCCCTCTGTCTTTCCCCTGGTGGCGCCGCTCCTCCCCCCGCCTCGCCATCTTCTCTTTATCCCCTGGTGGCTCCCTCCGGCGCGATATCCCTCTCTCTATCCCCTGGCGGCGTTGCCTCCCCCCCTCCCCACAGCCCCACCATCCTCTCTTTATCCCTGTTGGCGCCGCTCCCCAGCCCCGCCATCCTCCCTTTACCCCCTGGTGGCGTGCCCCCCCCCCCTCAGCTCCGCTACTCTTTTTTTATCCCCTGGCGGCGTCGCCCCCAGCCCCGCTATGCCTCTCTTTATCCCCTAGTGGCGTCGCCTCTATTGTTTATCCTTGCTTTCTGAGGCTCAGGGTGTTGAGATATTAACTTTCTGTTTACTCTCCGACCCTTGTTTTGCTACAACATGTTCGCTGTCAGAGAATGCTATCAGATTACAGAACGCCTCCAAAGGGGTCCGGGGACCCCCGGTGTTACAAGGAGCGCACCAAGGCTTCAAGTTCAACGCAAAGCTTAAGGCTGAGATTGTTACCCATGTGCTGTTTTGCAGTGGGCTGCTGGGTACAGGAACGGTACAAAAAATGAAGATTTTCCATGCATCCCAGTGCAGGGTAGTTTTTAATAAACATGCCAATCCAGACTAGACAGATTGATTAAGCCGCGGTGTGTTAGAGCTGGGATGCCTCCCGAAAGCTAGTGTTCCGTAACGAAAGGCGTGGGTTGATGTGTGCAGACCATCACGTGCCATCGTGCGCAAACCATGGACCAGCCCTTTTTTAAGGCATTTTTGGGATTTATGCCAGATCTCAGCAATCAGGGCAGATAAAGACGTGGGGCCGACTCCACGGCGTTGATGAATTAGCAGCTGCAGCTTACTGACGGGTCTAAAGACTTTCCGAACCGATGGCAATCGACAGGAGGGGGACAGACATAGGTGCTCTGGCAATCAACAGGAGGAGATCAACAATGCCGCCTTTTCCGAAACCGAGCGCCAACACAAGACGCTGTCATATAAACGAAGAGAAATCGAAACGCGATACTACATTGGTGTCTAGTCCCGTACCTGTCGAGCAGTATTCATCACAAATATTTGTATTCATCGCAACGCTTTGGTCGCAATTAACTAAACTAGGCCATTTAACCCTGATTAGTTTTGTCGGTGGAGTTATCAATTCTGCGCAGGCCCAAAGGCTGCAAGAGTACGGAAACGGCATTCGTAAGTTCGTGCACGGATGCTAGACATGGTACCTATGGGTGTCCAAAGGCGATGAACTCAATTCTCTTTTATCCAGGTACGATCCCCATGCCAACAACACTCGCGTCTGCTATCGCCTAATTCGTTCCACACCACAAATATGTTTTACCGGTTTTGAAGAAAAATCCGCTTATCTTGCTCCGCATTGACACCAAAATCATTTGTCCCCATCAACTTCCACGTTTGGTGTATAAATTTACATCAAATTGTATTTCCGGTCTAGATGATCTCATACCTTTCTTTGTGCACATTGAACAGAATCAATCATTCAAGCCGTGGAGGGATCCCTAAATTTTGTCCACATATATCTTGAGACCCATGATTTGCGTCCCCTTAACGCGGGCACCACACCAAAGCACTTCACCCTGAGTAACGCCATACCTTTTTGGGCTCTGCAACTATTCGGCCCTGAACCCTTTTCGAGCCCAGAGAACCTTCTGTACGTTGTTCTGTCCCTGGCGCACTTAGACCTGTCATGAAGCCTTTAAGGCTTTCAGGGGAGGCATTCAGCTACCGGCATTTGTTCATGATTTGTTCAGATGCCTGGCATTTTAAGGATCGGTCAGTCTTCTAGGGGAAATTAACTTTCCCGAAAATGCTGTTATGGCAGCTACGTTGGACGTTGGTACGCTATGGTACGTTGGAGCGCCTGTTGGTATGGACTACTACCTGGAGCTCGATGTATATTAAGGTAACCGTGTCAGTGTTCAGCTCCTCTCGATGTCTTTTAACTTATCAGAAACATCTTTGATCTTCCTTTTGCCTCTTGACTTCATAAGCGACTTCCACGACTTCTTCAAAATATCGTAAGGTCTTCTTGGTATATGGATCCACGGTTGCCTTAGAAGCTTGCACGTGATAACTTGGGGGTAAGTGCATTCACCGAACTTGGACTACTAGCTGCCTATTTAGCTGGCAAAAGAAAGAAACGAACAAAATCCAAGACGTGGAGGTCTCGGAGGGAATGCTAGATGGTACATGGTACATGGTACATGGTACAGTGCGACGTCCGTGTAGATGTTTTGTGTCGATTACCCGCAAGCCGCATGACATTAGGGGCCCCGGAGGACGCCAGAGTACTAGGCTAACTCTGGCGGTGAGCCCTCCTCAGGGCCTCACTAAGCAAGGTCCAGTCGTGCCAGCTGCCGGCAGCGAATAACGCTACGTCAGCAGTTATGCTATCAATATATATATATATATATTATGATGTCTTATTATGTCTAACACCCCCTAGTTGTTTAGCACCTCACCCTCAGCTCTTAAGCGTTAGTTCTAATTCGTCGATATACAGATTGGAGCCTCATCTAAATAAGGAAATGTATCTCTTTTGTTAACTTACATGATAACAGTAAATACATATAAATCAAATATGTATATATACATATATGTATATATGTATATATATATATATATATATATATATATCTATCTATCTATCTATCTATCTATCTATATATCTATATCTATCTATATATTATCTATACATACATATATATATATATATATATATATATATATATAATATATAATATATATTATATACGCAATCATATAAGATAAAATAGCAGCTGATTGGTCACTGATTATAGTTGAAGTGAACTGCACTTGAGAATAGTCACGGCGAGTTACCATGTGCCCCAACTTGTTGGAAACCCGTTTAAAACAAAGGTGTAACGAGCTGAGCGCAGTTACAGGCCCCCATGGCGTTACA